TTTGAAGAAGTGTCCTCGCGTAGGCATGTCAACGGCTAGTTTGAAGTACTCTACGACCTCCGGTATGTCACCGCAAAGGATCACTTCGTACATCATGATTTGGTTGCCTCTGGAGCGTCGAAATTCGAGGGTAACCAGGTCGAGTGCTTTACAGCGCTCCGGATATGTCAGCCTTCTCCGCGGTACTTCGCCTTTCTTTAGCAATTATCAAAGACCTTTCGTCGCCTGTGCTTATCATCCAGCGAATGTTTCGCCGTTAAATGTGTATGCTTCATTTTTTTCTGTATCCATCTCCTGCATGCTCCATAGCATATATGAACACCTCTGATAGCCAAACCGATGCGCGCGGTTCTAATCGGTAGGGCAAATTCAACGCCATTCGGCGGGGACCTTAGGATTGTAATTTAAAACTGCTAACCATCTCTCACCCTCCCCCTCCCTTAAAATAATTCCCGCAGTTCGTTAGCGCAAATATCTATCCTACTCTTCGGCCCATGTCTTCCTTTGTACGCAGAACAATGTGAGAAGCACATTGAGGAAGTTGGGCCCGAAAGCGTAATACGCATTCCGGCGGTGCCAATATTATTTTATATACGCACCAGGCCTATACATGTATGTGACATTTGGCTATAAGGGATCCTTACTAGCATAGATGAATGTTTTTTTCCACGTAAGGGCACTCGGGCGCCGGTGCATCTCTGTTTGGCTGAGATGGTAGTTTCTGTCCGATTTAGCCATTTTAAAATTGAGTTCATTGTCGTGCTTCACATTTCCGTGCTCAAGGCGACTTTTTCGCCACTTCAGTACACAACGTTCGAGTTAATTTTTTCCGGGATGAGACTCTTGTGACAGGAATCTAAACCCCTCCGATTTTTTAAAATAAATTCTTAAGCTCACTGAAGTCCCGCTTATCTTTTTGCGCAGTCGTGTGAAGTCGGTGTTTAAGTTATCTTAAGTCCGTTCTATTTGGCAGTGCTTGATGATGGTGTGTTCAGTTTGGTGCAAATACGTGGATCCTTGACCCATTCGCCTCGGTGGCAGTTTTCAGTTCCACCTTTCCCAGTACACTTGGAAATTTCTTGAGGACCTACGTAATGAGTGTTTATAATATCCTGTTCAGTACATCGATCAATGATTCCTTGCTTCACCATTACTTTTATTGGATTATTTTGTAATTGAATCTTTCATATGACTGACAAGAATTCTAGGGCGCCTGTGCCAGAAATGGAATGGAAAATGTTAGAGGATGACGTGTTACATCAAAATTCCGGCTGCGGAACAAAGATCCACAATACCAATCACCAGACACATCGGTTACTATAGTGTCGTGTGACTTATCTTACTGAGAGCACAAACTCTAGCCAAGAGCCCATACACGTATCACGATGTGGTTTGCCGGTGAATGTTTATGCTATTCACCAAGTTTACCGAAGTCGTGCTATCTTCCTAAATAGTAATAGATCTTAATCCCACTCAGCATTTTCACCCGTAATCCAAACAGAGCAGGCGATTGTCACCGTGCCAATGTCCTGATGATAACAGGATACAGTTAATATATCGAAGAGCGACCTAATTACATGCAAGAGAGTATTTTCTAGAGTCCAGAATAGTGACTTGG